AAAAAAAAAAAAGCTTTTTGTTCCTTTATTTTTTTTATGAACTATATACTGTCTTTGAGTAAAAATTCTTTGGGAACAGAGGATGCTTGGCAGCTACATAAAGCAAAAGGTTAGCTGTAAGATAAGTGTTTAGTCCTGCAACTTCACAGGTGGATTTTTGGAGATGAGGTAGCTTAGCAAATAAAGTTGGTATGTAGAAAATGACATCATCTGAAGACTGATATTTGTTAAAATGTGTTACTGAACCCTATAAGTGTTTTTTAAAACCTCTTTAAGTGCTCTTACATGCTGCTAATATGAAGATTATCTTATGTGTAAATACTGAAAATTAACTGTTTAATTCCAGGCGTTTTTGGAACTTGCTACAGAAGAAGCAGCTATAACTATGGTTAATTACTACTCTGCTGTGACACCTCATCTTCGTAACCAACCTATCTATATCCAGTATTCCAATCACAAAGAGCTAAAAACTGACAATACACTTAACCAGGTAAATTTACTGTTATGTAGTATTACAAATGCAGACAAGTAGAAAACGAGGCATGAAATATATTCTTGGTTTATGTGACGATTAAATCATTTGGTTTTGTCCATATTCTGAGACTACTGTAGTCTTTCCTATGATCATTCCATTTTGTGACATTGAAGGGGATTTGTTTTCTGTGTGATCTTTCCATTTCGATGAATTTTCAGTGAAATTCTTAATGTTTCCTTAATGTAAAAAGAAAGAGATTCTGAATTGTCTCCTGACTTCAATTTTTTTGATAAAATAAGTTTTCATCTTAGTTTAGAGACTGTAGGATGAAAAAAAATAACTTTCTGACACCTGCAATTCTAATGCCAATTTGAATTTCCCTAGTGATAATGACTAATGCCAATGCCTACGTTTCAGTGCTTTGAATGATCGCTCTGGTAACGCTGGTAACCTAACTTATGTGATCTGCTGTTCCTGGAGAAGAATACCTTCATGATCACTGTAGAGACAAATGTACTTAATAAGAAAAATATTATTTGCTTTTGCCTTTGCAGAGCCTATTTCACAATTAATAGAGATGCATATGTCTGTTCTTAATAGAACAGGAAAATAAGCAAAAGAACATGGCGACTATTGTGTATGAATTATAGGTCGGGGGGGAAAAGGCATCAACTCACAAGGCAGGTGATTATTTTAAGGTTGAATTCTTACATAATGTTATAAAAGGCAGTGTAAATACCAAGTTAAGTTTCTGTTATTTGTGTCCCCTCTTAGGTAAGCTATGCAAGTAGTAAAATTATAGCTGTTACCTTTAAAATGAGTTTGTAATTTGTTGAAAGATGTCTTGTTTCAGATCAAGTATACTGTTGATTTTTCCTGTTGATCTTTCTAAACATTCCAGTTCCTTAGAATCTTCTGATAGTTTGTCTGCTAGAGGTACTTTTTAAAATTGAGATTCTTCCTCCCCACCCATCCCCAATGTCAGCAATAATGGAAAAATAAATAACTTCATTTACTTTGAAAAAAGAATAGAGCATGAATTCTCTCTGCACAAATCATGACTGGACATACTCCTTAAGGAGCTTTCTCTTATGTTGTCCCCTGGCTTCTGTGGATATACTTGTTTCAAACTTCATATGTCCACCTTTTCAACACATAGGATGTACTGAATTTTCACCAGCTTTTATGGCACCATACGCATTAATACCCAATTTTAACATATTCCTAGCCTTTCAGGTCTTTCTTTCTTTAATTTAGAATGAAATAATATAAATTGGTACTTGGCAGTAACTTTTCTGTAACTAGTATCTCATGAGACATTCTATAAAACACAAGAAGGTTGGATATACGTTTTTCTATAAGGAAAAATAAAGTTGGTGCAGTGTGGTTTTTTTGTTTTGTTTTTTTTTAAATACTCAAAACTTTATTTGAAAGCTTTCTCATCCAGCCAAATTCATTTAGAAATTGTCTTTTTCTGGATGTTCAAGCAGGAAGCTATGAAGAAGTCAAGATGTTAGTACATGCAGATGAAGAGATAGGATAAAAAAAATGGAGAAAGCTGCAAATATGTTAGTTATAAAGAAGATAGAAAAAAATATTTAACCAGGGAGTACTTTAAACAGCCATACCTTTAGAAATAATGGAAGTAGGAGAAGTTCCATTAAGCTATGCTACTCTGAATTTCTCAATAATAATAGCTCCAAGATTATTTTTAGTTATGTACTCAGAATGAGTTGGCTCTGAATAAACAGATTCAAAAGGGAATATTCAAGTTTTCATCTCAGCTTTATGAAAATCCTTTTCCTGTGAGACATCAAAACACTGTGAGAGGAGCATTTAAACTCAGATTTAAAAGAAACATCTCTTAACCTTGATTCATACAGTATCTAGACTCAGAAAAACTGACAACAGGATGACCTATGTAACTATAATTCTCCCTAAGCATCCGCCTGTCATAAATGCATGGTTTTAGTCTTTCTGCACAGACATTGCAATATCTAGAAATAAGTAGATGTTGCACTTTCTCAACGGTGTAGCTGATATCTTAAAATTAATTCCAGTTTTGCAAAAATAAGAAAAAAGCTTTACATACTACTCAAATGTATTCAAAAATGGCTATGGTATATATGGATACTAAATGTTATTTTGAATTTGTTTGACAAAATACTTATGTCATGACATTGGCATAAACATCTGTAAAATTGTTAAGATCTGTGTTCATATTAAATTCAGTGGAATGAAATACGATGTATAAGCATAGGTGGATATTGCTAACAAGGGTCACATGTTAAAATTGACTTCACAAGTTTTGATTCTTTGGGTTATACAATATAAACTTTTCTAGTCACTTTAAGGAGTGAGTTTTGATTGATAAGTGCTTCCTCTCTCCTTACAGAAGGAGTAGGAAGTAATTGTGCAACTCAGCCAAATATGTAGGCAGCTTGAAAGTTGTGTATTTCATACATTAGGAAAAAAAAGAATGTTTTGTTGTCAAAGGTGTTTTTACAGAGTTACAGTAATTAACATTATACATAGAGGTAAATTTTGTTTTCCCAACTAGTGTTCACCAGGTCTTTTTTTTTCCCTCCCCCAACTTTCCTTACTCATTGATTCGTTTCAGTATGAGGAGTATCATGTAAGTTGTGAGACATGAAATTGTGTAGTAGTTCTAATACCTTTAAAATATGCGATATGCGTTAATATGGTGATTATTATTTTTACCTGGCATGCTCACTTGTCTCCGTTTTGTATCATTTTGCTTTGTAAGGCTACTGTAATGAAAGTATTAAATGGAAACCCTTTTTTCTGCACTTTTTCTTTCTTGGAAAAAGACATCTAATCTTTTTGATACTGTCAGTTTTGGCAGTGGAAGTAGTTACATAGATACATGTTCTTGTGATGTCATCATATGGTTACCTTTGAATTTCTAAAACCCTCCTTATGTTTAAAAAACAAAAAATCCCCACACGTGGAGAGGATTTTGTTTTTGTGAAAGAGGGTGGATAACAGACACCAGGTTTTTTACCTCTCTGGATACTACTTTCTGACACTTCTCAGTCTTGTATATTATTTCATTGTGTTAAAAAGGAGAAGTTTGGAAGCATTAGTTTAGCATTATTCCTTCCTGTTGGAGCCTTTTACATAACTAAAATGGCAGTGAGATGTTACCTGTAGTACAATCTCTTGAAAAATACATAAAAACTTATGTTTTCTGTAGGCTTGGTTTTTTTGTTGGTTGGGTTGTTGGTTTTCTTTTTTCTTCTTTAAAGGAAAGGAAAAAGGTCTGAAGAGTCATGAAACATACAAAATCTTCACTTTCTTTGTCCTTACTAGTAGAACAATGAGCTTGCTACTAGGAAGATTGATATTGGTTCCGTTAGAAGCCCCTCCTTACTGTGACATGAGGATTAATTGATGTTTTCATTTTTATTGTCTCTTCTCACTGAGTCAGACTGCATTGCACTTACATTGTGTTATGTCTGTAGCTCTGAGTTTTAAATAAGTGGACTATTTTATGTTACTGAAGTTAACTATATTAATATTGCTAATTAATTTCTAGCTATCATATTGAAATATTTAAAGATCTGTCTGTTTTTTTTATTTTTAAGCGGGCCCAAGCAGTTCTTCAGGCAGTGACGGCGGTGCAGGCAACAAACGCTCCCATTAGTGGGACCACTGTTAGTGAAAGTGCAGTGACTCCAGCTCAGAGTCCAGTACTCAGAATAATTATTGATAATATGTACTATCCAGTAACCCTGGATGTTCTTCATCAGGTAAGCCAAATTTCATTTTAACTTGAGTTATGATTGGGAGGAACTTGTGTATAACACTTTATGATGTTTTTGGCAGATATTCTCTAAATTTGGTGCTGTATTGAAGATAATCACATTCACAAAGAATAACCAGTTTCAAGCTTTACTGCAGTATGGCGATCCAGTAAACGCACAGCAAGCAAAACTAGTAAGTAGCGTTCTCTTTTAAGGCTGGGGACCTTCCTGTACTCTAAATGTTTGGCACTTTGTTATAGGAACATTTGACAATCATATTATCGTGTCATATTCCTTCTATGACTTTTTTGAGATTAAAAAATAACTGGGAGTTGTTATATAATGTTGTTATTGCGTAAAATCAGTGTTTAATACTATGTCTAAAGAATTGTATACATCTGTAATTATGAACAAATATTTTAATAAGACTGCACAAAGATGAGATAATATGCAAGATGGCAATAATGAAGATGTCAACCAGAAGTACAATGTAGGATGTAATGTTGATGCATAATTAGTTCACTGTAAGCAGCAAATTTAGTAAGCCCATTGGATTATTGGTAGATACTTTCTAAGCATCAAAACAAAGATCTGATTTTTGGATTAGATATAGGTTTGTGAAAGTATTTAATTACACTATCCTAAAAAAATATCTAGACTTTATTATATCCGTAAATGCCCAGAAGAAAGAGTGCAATCTTACTCATGGGACCAGACAATAACGAACCTTTGCAGCAGTGACAGATGAGAGCTGGATCTTACTTTTGTTTTATAGGAAACTCTCCTATCCTGGGTAGGAGAGGCAAGAACAGGTAACTTGTTTTATTCGTTATAGCAGAAGACAGCCTGAGGATAAATTATGACAAAGATCAAAAGGATGTCATCTAGACCAGATGTTTTGAATTAATGTAATGGGATATATTCACATCTGTGGCAATAGGAAAGTTGAACCAAAGGGCAAGGCTAGATTTTTTTATTACTATTTTTTCCAAGAGATAAATGGAATGAATTTATATTTTCAAACCTTCACATGCAGTGTGGGGTTCTGGAAGGTTGATTAAAATTGATGTGCTGGTTAAGTGTCGCTTGGCAGCATAGAATGTGCTTATTGCCCATAGATGACAGAATACTTGAGAACTTAAGGAAAAGTGAAAAGCTCGCACCTCAGACTAACTTGGCAGTGAATATCTCTTAGTAGAGGAAAGAAAAGAAAAAAATAGGCTTAGTTTTCTGTTGTAAAGAATGATGACTATATTGAAATAAAGACCTTCATTAAATGTTGGAGGATGGTCATTTTTATCTTCATCACCAAATGAAATACTGGGTGTTGATTAGAAGAGTGTGAGATGGTCAAGGCAGGGAATCACAAAAAATAAGAGACATGCTTTCATAAAACAGAGTGTAAGTTTTCATGCTATTAAGAAAAATAAAGTTAGTCAAAGAGAAGAAGATTTGCAGCTTGATTTACGGTGATCTGCTTTAAGCTAATCTACTCCTGAAGAGCACTCTGGAAGCATTTGTAGATTTGGAGTACAATTTAAATTACGGATATGCTTTTCAGAGATGCATAATATCAAATATTAGATCATGTCTCAGAGTAGAGGGAGATGCAAATGTGTCACTGTAATATGTAAAAATTTGCTTGGATGGGATACACCTTTCAGATTTTAAGTAGATTTTAAAATAGTAATACAGAAGCTAGATCTTCAACCTACAATTGCTGCAGAAATTGACTGTAGTCATTTAGATTTGTATTTAAAATCAACAGTTGGATGCTAATGTGTTTGTTGCAGAATGTTATAATTCAGTCTTGATTTGTGTTTGGAAAGTTATTTTTTAGTAATAGATGTTAATGCTGCTTTAAAAATGCATTTTTTGAAGCAAAATATGACATCAAGTGATAAATCTTTTGACTTCGTTTTTTGAGTCTTACATATATTATCAGAAGATTTAATGGGAAGATGGCATCTCTGAAATGAACTGTAGTGATTTGAAAATTGTCAGTGTAATTCTAGGAATATATTATAAAGACGTGACAAAATAACAAGGATGAGGTATGTAAAAATATGAAAGGAACTGAAGAATCTTTTGCTGTTGTTGACTTCTGACAAACTTATACTAGCTTGTGGGATACTGTATTGGTCATATTTTCTATTATTTTTTTTTTTAAAGAGCATGTATTTGTTTCTCCAGTTTTGCATGTTTTGATTAGGGTAGCTCCTCACTAGTGGTAGCTCGTGTGACTGACTAAACTTCATTGAATAACAGTGACTCCTGCATGTACAGTCATTGTCAGAGTGATCTTGGAGCCTATCGAAGTGACAAACTGAAACAGTCATAGGTTTATAGTTTTGTATTTTAACCAATCTATGCGTAAATAGGTAAAATGCTAAGAGTAATACCAACTGCAAGTATTGAAGAATGCTAAATTTGAAGGAAGGTTTGATTTCCCCGCTACCCTCCCAGGCTATATAGAGGAAAATAAGTACAGTTTTTATGATTGAGCTACTGTGGTAAAACATTAAGTGCCACCAAAACAAAAGGAAAGAAACAGTCAGGTGATAAGAAGAAAACTTCCAGTTTAAATAAGTCTGGAAATACAGTAGAAGCAAGAAGATGTGGTGGCTTCACTTAAGTTGCATGGAGTTCAAAATTAAAAGCATGGTAAAAGAGTAAAGAAGTTTTCAATTTGTTTTCCATCAATTGTTACTATAGAAGATAACGGGGAAATTTAATTTTCCACTGGCACTCTTCACAGGAAATCAGAATGTGGCCTTAATAGAAATTGAAGACTTATTAAGGAAGTTAAAGAGCAATTTGAAAAACTCAAGTGATGTAAGTACCAAGGAGAGATGCTATTCATTTGGAGATTCTGAGGCAATAGTGAGTCTGACAAGAATGTACAATACAAAGCCTCCAGCCCTATGGGACCACTTTTGCTTTTTGAATGAGCAAGTAGTGAAAAATTGCATTCCCGCTCCACTTGCTTTGTGAGAAACTCTTTTCCTATAAAAGTAGACTATGGCTACACTGAGTCATGTTTCATCACCACCCTCAGATTGGATCATTATAGTTTGTTACACTGGCAAGTAAAGGTGAAGACAAGAAACTTTAATTCTTTGCAATGCAGTAGTCTAGCCATGGGTTGGAAAAAGTACTGAGAATGTGCAACAGTAGAGCGCATTGAACTACTGTGTTTCTCCAAATGAAACAGAAAGTCATGTCCTGGAGATGCCTGTGTGCATAAGGAGATATTCTAAGCATCAGAAATTGGCCATTTTCATAGTAAATGATCAGTACCCTCAGCATAAGCAGCGAACTACAATATCTGAATACCAGTAATCTGGTATGCCATGAGAAGATTAGAGTGCCAGTGTTCCTGTCTGAACAGCTGGCTAATCCAGGGTCTTGTCTCTGTGTAACTGCACCAAAATTACTTTTGCCAAATCTTGGATAGTAACAGAGTTATTAATGCATTGTCTATGGAGGATTAACTGAGACTCACAAATAGAGCATGGCAGTCATCCTGACCCAACATGGATTAAAAATACCAGAAGTTTAATTGAGAGGCTCTGTTATAGTAGGTCAGTTGGTCCTTACTTGGCCCGTAGGTGATTTGGAGTATCTCTACAGAGATTCTGTGCGATTTGACTCTCCACTCAAGATGTCATCTTTCCAGTTGTTTTGAGTGACAGCTTCAGGGTGGCTCTGCACTGGTAGCAGTCTGCAAAAGATTTCTGCTAGGCTACATTGCCCTAAAATCTGTAATAGGAACTTCAGGTAGTCACTGCCGGAATCTCCAGGTGAGTTATATAGCTTCAGGGCCATGATCCACAATTATCGCATTAGGATTTTTGGGCATCTCCAATCCTAAAGATTGCCGTTTGTGGTCAGAAATAAGTAGTGTTCAGGTAAACAGAAGAGTGTTGGATTGTATCCATTGTATCAGAAAGCCCAGGAAGTGCAGGAACAGTGTTTGTGTCCTGGATTTTCAAATTTTGTAGAAAATAATAAGATATACAACAGGTCCTTCAGTCAAGGAACTGCACTGAAAAAAAAAATCTTATTTTAGGATAAAGGAACATGCTTTACACACACTTTTTTAGCCACAGAAACTTCTTGTATCCAAGACTCTTGTATCAAAATAAATTAATTTCATTCAGATGTATTTCTGTAGGATGCATTTGGGACACATCTCTCCCAAGAGATATTTGCCATATTACTTTGAGGTGCTTATTTGAAGCAGGGTGTGTTTTGTAAGGGTTACTTTTTTTTAAAGCCTTAAACTACTATGCCCTTCAAAAAAAAAA